ATGTAGTTCAGAGAAGAGCAAATCCAGAAGGCAAACAAATAAGATATTCAGACTCAAATGATATGTCTGTTGCTCTTAGGGGGAGATAGTACTGGTTGCAGTATGCATTATAGTCTACTGGGAAGCAATCCAGCAACATATGTTAGAAGTAATATCTGATTGACCCAGGAATTCCATTCCTTGTTCTCTTAAAGAAATAAAAGCACCTGTAGGTAAGGATATGTATTACAAGGTTGTGTTCTGCAGTAATGTGTAGAGGGTAAGTGGATATAAACAAATGTTCACCAGGAGACGAATGTTGGCTATATCACAATATATCCAAATGGTGAAATATTATGCAGTCATTTATAAAGGAACTTAGGGCTCTATCAGTTGATTTGAAAGATTTTTATGAGCCATTATTGAATGGGAAAAGCAAGGTACGAAAAATTGGGTATGATATAGTAGTTAGAAAAAACATGGAAAAAGCATGCTTATGTGTGTCTTAACAATTATGTGTACAAGGATAAACATGTACATGGAAGTATGCATGTAAGAAAATATACCAGGTAGTTAATATGGCTTCCTGGGGAAAGGGGTGGCATTCAGGATGATAAGGGTAGAGGACAGTGCCAAGGGGAAATTAACACAAACAAAACACAACACACACACACACACACACACAGACCATTAATAAAGAAACAACAGTATGTATGACCACTTTTGTATATACATTTGTGCGTATATGTGTGGGCATGTGCGTGTACACGCACACATGTGCAAATGAATTTTTAAATATATTTTATTGATTATGTTATTACAGTTGTCCCATTCCCCCTTCTCTCCCCTCCACCCTGTACCCCCTCTCCCACCCACATTCCCCCCCTTTAGTTCATGTCCATGTGTCATACTTATGAGTTCTTTAGCTTCTACATTTCCCGTACTATTCTTGCCCTCCCCCTGTCTATTTTCAACCTACATTCTATGCTACTTATTCTCTATACCTTTTCCCCCTCTCTCCTCCTCCCACCCCCCTGTTGCTAACCCTCCATGTGACCTCCATTTCTGTGGTTCTGTTCCTGTTCTAGTTGTTTGCTTAGTTTTCTTTGGTTTTGCTTTAGGTGTGGTTGTTCATAATTGTGAGTTTGCTGTCCTTTTACTATACATGTTTTTTCTTTATCTTCTTTTCTTAGATAAGTCCCTTTAGCATTTCATAAAATAAGGGCTTGGTGATGATGAACTCTTTTAACTTGACCTTATCTGAGAAGCACTTTATCTGCCCTTCCATTCTAAATGAAAGCTTTGCTGGATAGAGCAATCTGGGATGTAGGTCCTTGTCTTTCATGACTTGGAATATTTCTTTCCAGCCCCTTCTTGCCTGTAAGTTCTCTTTTGAGAAATCAGCTGACAGTCTGATGGGAACTCCTTTGTAGGTTACTGTCCCCTTATCTCTTGCTGCTTCTAGGATTCTCTCCTTCGTTTTTACCTTGGCTAATGTAATTATGATGTGCCTTGGTGTGTTTCTTCTTGGGTCCAAATTCTTTGGGGTTCTCTGAGCTTCCTGGATTTCTTGGAAGACTATTTCCTTTGCCAGATTGGGGAAGTTCTCCTTTATTTTTTGTTCAAATACATGCTCAATTTGTTGCTTTTCCCCTTCTCCTTCTGGTACCCCTATAATTCGGATGTTGGAACGTTTAAAGATGTCCTGGATGCTCTTAAGCTTCTCGTTTTTTTGAATTCTTATTTCTTCATGCTTTCCTGCTTGGTTGATTCTATCTTTCTTCTGGTCCACTGTATTGTTTTGAGACCCAGCTTCCTTCCGTTCACTATTGGCTATCCTCCGTGTATCTTCCTGCATCTCTTTTATGGTAACCTGCATCTTTTCATCTAATTTGTGCCCAAAATCAACCAATTCCGTGAGCTTTCTGATCACCAGTGTTTTGAACTGTGCATCTGATAGATTGGCTATTTCTTGGTCGCTCAAAAGGATGAGTCCTGGGGGACTGATCTGTTCTTCTGTTGGAAACATGTCTCTCCCTGTCTCTCCTTTTTTTTTTCCCAGTCTGGTCGCTCTTGTTACGGTGGGGGGGCGGAGCCTTAGGTGTTCACTGGGGCTGGGCATCCCAGTTGCTAGATTGTGACGTTTATGTGGGGGCGGGGGCGGGGATGGGAGGAGACAATGGCGGTAGTTGCGTTCTCCTGGGATCTCAGTCCCTTCTCTGGGATCCTGGGCTGCAAGCTCTGCCCGGTCCACAATCGCCGCCTCACTGGGTCTGCCAGCCGCAGCTTGCGTACTCAGGGACCACCGCTGTGTTCTTGTGCGCCGGATGGCTGTCGCACCGATTTCGGGCCAAGTTTTCCCCGACCTCCGCGTGCCGCCCGCCCGGCCCGTCCTCTCCTATCAGTCTGGATGTATGGGTCTACTTCAACTTTTTGGCTGTCCGACTTCCATTCAGATAAATCCTCTATCAGTTCTGGGTGTTATTCTAGCTGTAAATTGTTGTTGTTCTAATCTTGGGTGTGCGAGGAGGTACAGTGCGTCCACCTATTCCTCCATCTTGCCGGAAGTCTCCAAATGAATTTTTGAAAGTAAAGAATTCCTATTGGCTCTGGCTTGTTTTATTCCATTGCTCATCATTTCCATAGTACTACTAAGTGAGAACCTTGATCTAATAGCGCAGTAAATTCTCTAAATGGTAATTGTATCATGGCTCTTTTTTGTTGTTAAATAGCAAAACTCCAATGAAAAGAGTTGCATAAGCAAAAAAAGGAGATTTATTAGCCCACAGGAGTCTTCACACGCAATTAGATCCAGAACCCCAGTTCATCTCTCATTAGGTGTCCGTCTTTTGCCGCTGTCTGCATCTCTGCCTCCTGTTTCTACTTCTCTTTTTATTTTTGGCTTTTTTCTCTCCTATTTTCCCTCTGGATGGTACGGTAGTTCCTTGATACATCTTTCCCTGCCCCCCCCCCCACCCCCGGTTCTGTGTTTCTCTCATGTTCCTCCAACCTCAGCTTCAAAAAGAAAAGTCCCAGGAAGGAGTTTTGACAGGCCTGGTTTGAGTCACATGCCCACCCACCCGTACCGATCCCTGTGGGCAGGAGGTTAACTGAGTACTGCAATTAGTGGGGCCTGGATCACAAATCCACACCTTGGGAGAGAAGGGAGTTACAGTGTAGCAATTAGGGGATGCAACCCAACCACAGTCATGTAATTTGAGTGAGTGGAGAACCTCCCCAAAGAAGCAGCGGTGCCATGGCCTGTGTGGTTCAGTTGGTTGAGTGATGTCGGGTACACTGAAAGATCACAGGTTCAATTCCTGGTCAGGGTGTGTGCAAGAGGCAACTGATCAATGTTTCTCTTCCTTTCCCCCTTCTTCCCTCTCTCATTAATGTATAAGCATGTCCTCCAATGAAGAGAAAAAAAAAAGTAGTGGCAATTGGGAAGGGAGCAAGGTGATGTAACGGAGAAAAAGAGATCCTAGGTAGACAAAACAACAGATGTCCACTGGAGGCACTGTGCAAGCCAAGTTTGCATCTTCAACATAAAGGGAATTGAGTTGTGGAAAACGTGGGTTTGAGTCAACTAGTCAGTACTGTACATTTAGGGCAGTGAAAATACTCATTTGTGCAATAGTTTATGTTGATTTATGAGAATTATGATAGGTAATCATCCTTTTGTATATTCTTGCCCCAGATGATTTATGATAGAGTTAAAGACAAGTGATTAATAGGCAATATTAGCTTCATATATTTGAATGTGATGTATTTTTCTAATTAAAGACAACCTTTTGTATTTCTTTTTCCAGCTTTTTAAAAAAACATTTTACTTATTTATTTTTATACAGAAGGGAAAGGTGAGAAAAAGAGAGGGAGAGAAACATCAATGTGTGGTTGCCTCTTGTACTGCCCCTACTGGGGGGCCCAGCCTGCAACCCAGGCATGTGCCCTGGCTGGGAATCAAACCAGCGACCCTTTGGTTCTCAGGCCAGTGTTTGATCCACTGAGCCACACCAGCCAGGATTTTTCTGCCAGCTTTATTGAGACATACTTGACATTACATAAGTTTAAGATAACATGATGATTTGATACACACATATATTGTAAAATAATTACCAGTATAAGGTTAGATAACATATTTATCACCTTGCATAATTACACATATTTATTTCTAGGGCAGTTTTAGTATGTCAGACTCCATGCCCTGTACCTGTTGAGACATACTTTTAGCAGTTGTTTTTATCCAAGAGTGCTCCATACTTGCTCATCTTAAAGATTTCGCCTATTTTAAGATTGATTTATAATAATGTTTAGATATTTAGATGATAAATAAATGACTAACGTTTTGATTTTGTGAAAAATTAAGAAGCTTATACATCATAAAGGAAGAAAATAAGTTGATTAAAATATCCTTTGACAGAATTTTAAGGGCCATCAAAATAGTTAAAGTATTCAGCCACAAACTCTTTTCAACACTAGTACAGAAAAATACACTGCCTGAAGGTGAAGCACAGAGTGAACACTCACAAGCAGTACCCAGGTGAGACACAGAAGCTTTCAGCCCCACTGCACACCGGTCCTTGCTCTTCTGCAACACGCAGTCCCCTCAAAGGCGTCTGCTATCCTGACTCATGCCAGTCGCTTCCTGGCTTTTCTGTTTAGATTACCATCAAATTTGCATGCCTACTACAGCTTACTTTTGCCTGTTTTGTGAGCTTGCTAGAAGTGAAATCATATAGTATGTACTCTTTAGGGCCCATCTTCTTTCACCCAGCACCATCATTGTTGTCCACAGTTACGGAGTGAAGGTAGAGTGGGAACAGGCCGGAGGACAAAATAACAGCTCTGATGGATCATAACCCTGTAAAGTGATAGGTTTTAGGTTATTATTGGAGTTTGTAGAGGGACCTTAGAGTCATAATGAGACATAAAGTATTTATTGAGAATTCTAGCAGTTGATACCCCAGCTTCCCAAGACGGGCAATCCTCAGGCTGTTTCATGTCGTTCCAGGAAGGTGCACTTGTGCTGGCTGCATTCCCAGTGATACGACCAGAGCTCAAGGCCATCAGGACCTACCAGCCCTGCCTGGAAGTGACCCTCTGAGGGTTAGGGCTTGATGAAGTATTTCAGGCTGATGGCGTGGGTTTGCTGGAATTGTCTTTAGAATTAAAATAGGTGTCTTTTATTGTATATTTGAACATTTCATGTTTTCTTTGTGTGTTACCAAGAAGCCCTCAATGTGAATTTTTATGAATATAACATTATGATTATATACACTATATCTTAACATATTCAAGGTCTAATAAAGCATTTCTATGAAGAAGGAAAGCATTGTTTCAGGTAATAGCTTAATATCATCTAAGCAAATTATTTATGTTCACTGAATTATAAAGTAGAAATTGTGGCAGGCCCAACATAAAACATTCCTGCTGTTCTTCTAATGGTTGGAGGCTTGGTACAGAAAGTATGAATGTGCACAGCTAACAATATAATGTATTCTCACATACATATAAGCCTTTTTAAAGTTTTTATTTTTCCCAGTGTTATTGAGATGCAGTTGACATACAGCACTGTAAATTTAAGGTGGACAGCGTTAACGACTTTATTTACATATATTGTGAAATGTCACAGTAAGTTTGGTCAACATCAATCATGTCATATAGATACAAAAAAAGGAACAAACATTTTTCCTTGTGATGAGATCTTGTAGGCTTTACTCTCTTAACAACTTTCAAATGTACCATATAGCAGTGTCAACTGTAGTCATCATGTTGTCCCTGGTATTTATTTATCTTATAACTGGAAGTTTGTACTTTTTGACAACCTTCATTCAATTCCCCATCTCCCCACCCCCCAGAAATCTAATCTTTAGATCTCTTTTTCTATGTGATTGTTTTTTTTAGATTCCACATTTGAGATCAAACATGTGCCAGACTTGTTTCACTTTAGCATAATGCCTTAAAAGTCCATCCATATTGCCAAAAATGACAGGAATTCCTTTTTATGGCTGTGTAATATTCCATTGTGTATATGTATGTGTGTGTATATGTCACATTTTTATCTATTATTCACCCACTAATGGACACGTAAGTTGTTTCTATGTCTTGGCTATTGTAAATAATGCTGCTATGAACCTTGGAGTACATATATCTCTTTGACATTGTGTATTCATTTCCTTTGGATAAGTACCCAGAAGTGGGATTGCTGGAACATGTGGTAGTTATACTTTTAACGTTTTGAGGAACCTCCATACTGTTTTCCACAGCAGCTGCACCAGTTTACATTCCTACCACCAGTGCACAGCAGCGCCCTTTGCTCTGTGTCCTCACCAGCATTGGTTATCTTTCGGCTTTTTAATCATGGCCCTCCAATAGGCATGAGGTGATACCTCATTGTGGTTTTGATTTGCATTTTATGATTAGTGATGTTGAGCACCTGATTTTCATGTACCTGTTGACCATTCGTATGAGAATCTTCTTTGGAGCAATGTCTATTCAGGTCCTTTGCCCATTTCAATATTGGATTATTTGTTATTTTTTTGTTTTGTTTTGTTTTTTGCTATTGAGTGGTATGAGTTTTTTATGCAGTTTGGATAATTACCCCTGATCAAGATAAATGATTTACAAATATTTTTCCCTTCCCATAAGTTATCTTTTTATTTTGCTGATCATTCTGTTGCTGTGCAGAAGCTGTTTAGTTTGATGGAGTCCCACTTTTTGCTTTTGGTTTTGTTGCTTGTGCTTTAGGCATCATATCCAAAAAATCATTGCCAAGACCCATGTCAGAGAGCTTTTTCCCTGTGTTTTCTTTTAGGAGGTTTACACTTAAGTCTTTAATTTATTTCAAGTTAACTTTTGTAAGTTGAGTGATGTAGGATAGGTGTCTAATTTTATTTTACAAAAGCCTTTTGTTGGTGTTTATGTATTCTCTGGCTTTCTGTGCTTTTAGATGTAATTTTGCTTATTTATCCTCATTAACTATTATTCTCTCTTTTCCTGGTGTCATGTATACATTGATATACTTTTTTTTCTTTTTCATACAACTTCACACACATCAGTTCTTTCGATGGCAATAGGGGCAATCAATCACTGCTGTGAATTCTGTTAACTGTCCACTTCAGTAGGCCTGTAATTTAGAGGACATGAGACTGAGTGGGAAGGCAGCTTCGAAGAGAATGTAACATGTTCAGCCTGGGTGGGCCTTAGTCTCTGTGTGGCCACCAGGAGGACTGAATGAATGGGAGCTGTCCAGTAAGTAGGTCACCAATGGCCTGCCCAGGACAGGGACCATTCTGTGATGGCAGCTAGGACTGGATGTGGTGATAGTGACAGAACACCTTCTTGTCCTTGACTGTCATCCTGGAGATGTTCATCCCACAGGAGAATAAGAAGCCAGTTCTGTGGGCAAGATAAAGTCACACTTTACAATGACATAGGCACATGTATTCTGAACTGGATCAGGATCAGAAATGAAAATATTTAGGGCACACAGAAGGAAAAAGGATACAAGAATACAAGGATACAAGGATAATGCTTGTGTCTGTATACCTTTTTTGTGTTTAAGAGTGGATACATGGTAATTGGCTTATGGTAGCAATTTTGAAATACATGCATTTATATACAGTAAAGTTTAAGAAAATCCTACATTCATTTTTTGGCTGATGTCAGGTTCTATTTATTGATTAACTTCCTTTTCCCACCAAGAATGTTGCTACTGATATCCATTATAATATACATTCTTGTATTATATGGTCAATTAAAAATTTAGTTAAAGTCATGAATAAAAAGGAAGGTAATATATATTCATTTACCAGTTATTCATGATTTTGGAAATTGTCCAAGTTTACCTACCCACTATCTCTTCTCTGCTAAGGCAGTATGATCCATAGAAAATTTTAAATTCTAGAATAGTTGCACTCTATTTCTTGAGATTATGGCAGCCTTCTGCTGTTATTGTTTGGGGTGTGCTCCGAAATTCAAATATATTTTGATATTTTTCCGATCAAAACATAATTTAAGACAAATCCACTACCAAAATCACATCTATAAAAGCAAAATAAAAATTATTTGGATAAGTGTCCCAGGTTCGATTCCCAGTCAGGGCACATGCCTAGGTTGCAGGCCACGGCCCCCAGCAACTGCACATTGATGTTTCTCTCTCTCTCTTTCTCCCTCCCTTCCCTCTCTAAAAATAAATAAATAAAATCTTTAAAAAAATTATTTGGATACTTCCTGTATTGTTTCTCTCTTCCATTAGTACTAATAATTGAGAACTAACTGTGCATGTGAAATCAACCTTCAATCATTTGTCCAAAGCCAGTAATAGCAACTAAAGGCCAACATTAAAGACAGTTGATAGTATGCTTTCTGCTCACTATAGAAAGAGAGTTTACATGAAATACAGTAGGCAGGTGGGTAAACTTTGAGTATGTCTTCACCCATGCATGACTGGTTCTTCGTGTTTGCAGATATGACTGTGTATGTGTTATGGTGCATATACTCTTTCTTGAAAATTAGACTTGACTTGTTTATAATGCTTATGTCAGGTGTCACAGGCTTCATTCTTCCTTGAGTGAATGTATATGTAAAACTATGGTTTTTAGGACTAGTATTGAAACACAAAGTTTGAAATTGAATACCAAATGGTAGCGGCATTTATAACAGATCACTCTGGGAAGGCGAAAACAGTCTACAGTAATTAATATGCTGTCATCTCTGTCAAAGTACTTTCTGAAAACACTGTTAAGCATTTATCCTTAAAACTTCTTTTGTGTGTTCCTAAGCCCTATTGAGAGTACTTACACAACTGGTATAAATACCAGAATCCGTCTGTATTGAATTGAATTTGATGACAAATGTATCTATTTCTGACATGTGTCCCATTCTATTTTCAGAGAGGCCAGAATTTGTTACAACTGTCAGAGAGAAAATCACTGTGTCTAGCTATCCTCACAGTGCCCTGGAGTATGTTTTACACTGTTAAGACCCTTAATTCCTTCTTTACTATCATATTTATGGGCCGAAAAGCTAAGCATGGAGATAACACTTTTCTGTCCTACGGGCAGAAATGTATGAAAAGATGAAGGGGATTTAACCTGTTAAGTTTTCTGCTTCTGATCGTTGAACCTCGGAAAATTCCATAAAGCGCTTTCCAGTAGAACTTTTTACTATATTAGAATCTCTTTTTTCCTTTGCAGACCCCCATGTGACTTTTTCAGATATGTGTTCGAGACAGAGCGTTATGTGTGGAAGCTGAGAATGCCTGGAAGATTTCTTGCTTCTGTCACTGCTTTTCCTGCCTTTTCACATCCCAGCCTGATATGGATGATGTGATATTCAGAGGGACCCCTTAATCAAACTCATTCTTCAGCAAGACACATCTGGCCAAAGATTGTGCAAATACTTCAAGATGGCTAGTCAACCACCAGAAGACGCCGTGGAGTCCCAGGTCTCCGATGAGCTCGAGTGTAAGATCTGCTATAATCGATACAATCTGAAACAGAGGAAACCCAAGGTGCTGGAGTGTTGTCACAGGGTTTGTGCCAAATGCCTCTATAAGATCATAGACTTCGGGGACTCCCCTCAAGGTGTCATCGTCTGTCCTTTCTGCAGGTTTGAGACATGCCTGCCAGACGATGAAGTTAGTAGCCTTCCTGATGACAACAACATCCTTGTGAACTTGACTTGCGGAGGCAAAGGCAAGAAGTGCCTGCCAGACAACCCCACTGAGCTGCTGTTGACCCCCAAGAGGCTGGCCTCTCTCGTCAGTCCTTCTCACACTTCCTCCAACTGTCTGGTTATAACCATCATGGAGGTGCAGAGAGAGAGCTCCCCGTCTCTGAGCTCCACTCCTGTGGTAGAATTCTACAGGCCTACAAGTTTTGACTCTGTTACCACTGTGTCACACAACTGGACTGTGTGGAACTGTACCTCCCTGCTGTTTCAGACATCCATCCGGGTGTTGGTTTGGTTACTAGGTCTGCTCTACTTCAGCTCTTTGCCCCTAGGGATCTACTTGCTGGTTTCTAAGAAGGTCACCCTGGGGGTCGTCTTTGTTAGCCTCGTCCCTTCGAGCCTTGTTATTCTGATGGTATATGGTTTTTGCCAGTGTGTGTGTCATGAATTTCTAGACTGTATGGCACCTTCTTAATCAATATGCAATCTAAGAAATTTGACACACATTGCCATGTTTCAAGTTAGGTAATTCATTTATTTTCTTTTCTGGTCTCTATGATTAGTGTTCATGACCTTAACTAAGCCATTGGCCATATGTCTGTGGTCCATTTTCCATCAAATGTTGACATGGTTGGTTTTCCTGTATTCTGGAAGTACAAGTGTTCACTTCATTTAGCAAAGAAGCAAAAATATGTAAGCTAAATGAGGCTTCTCAGAGAAAGGGCAGGATTTCACTCAGCCCTACAAGACAGACACTGAGAGGGGTTGTGTTCGACTGCAGCCAAGGTCTTTGTGGAAGGTTAGGAATGTACCGATTCCTCTTCTCGTCATCATGGGTAATCTCTGATGGGGGGTGAACACGAGAGGAGAGCGTTTCCAAGACACGTCCATTTGAAAAGTGTGCGCTGCCCGCCGGGCTCTGCCCTTGGAGTGCCCCATCCCCTGTGGCTGTCTTTTCTTCTGTTGATGCTGCTCTCTGGGGGCTGCAGCTCCAGCTGAGGTGCTTGTTTCCTGCGCACTTGCTCCCTTGTCAAGAGGAAACTCGGCATCATTCCCTTTGGTGGTTTTAATTAAATATCTGTTTTGCCACAATACTAAAGAGAATTTAAAACATTGAACCATTTGCATCACAATAAACTTTATGACAGGGTGGTCACTTGTCTTTGAGACACACCCTCCCCCCATATTTATTTTTCTCTCTCCCCTGTCTTCTCTGAAATTCTTGTGGAGCAGGCATTGCTCCTGCAAATCTTCATTTGCATCTTTAAACATTTTAGTTCAGTTTTTTCTTAAAACCACATTGTTCCATTAGTTCCACCCTTATCCTGAAAGATGTTTTATTTAAATTAGTTACTATAAGTTTATGAGGGTCTTGGTTTTCCCATTGTACTTTAAATTCTGTTGTGGACTTATTTAACTCCGCCCTACAACAATTTGGGGATAAATGTGACAGTGGAAACCCAGAAACAATGAATGAGATGTTCTGGTTCACAGCTTGACATGCTGAGAACCTCAATATTTTGCTTTACTCTTCTGAGTTAACTAAAAAAATGATGGTTTAGGCATCTGTGCAAGACTGTTGGAATACAAAAGGCAAAAGGATGGGCAAGAAACCCAGAAAGCTGGTGCCCTGCTTGAAAAGACCCTTTAAGGAAGTAAAATGAAGGTGGCAGAGGCCATTTTAGAATGGATTCAAGTTTTTACACCACTTTTTCAAATAAAATTATAAGCTTTTTTTCATGATGTAGAGGAAGTTGAATGTATATATTTATCAGAGGAAATTATTTACCATTTTTTAGGTTTGAGGGGATAGAATGTCCACAGAAACTAGAGAACAAAAAGCTTATTAGTCTCTAAAACCCATTACTGATGATTAACATTAAAATCTTTATTACTCTTAGAAGGGGACATTACTAAGACAACTTTAGTTTGTTTGTGATGAAACATTTGTTGTGTGATATAGTTGTGGTGGACCAGTTCCAATATTCTTATTCAAGAAAAATTGACACCTATTTCTAGAATAGTAGTTTGATTTTAATTACATAACTATTACCTTCGAGAATATATATGCCTAAGATAAGTATGACAGAAAAGTATGTGTGGGATGTAGTCCAATGAATTTAAGCCTCAAGACCCAGCTAAATACACTTCTGATTTCATAAAATCTACATTAGATAGCATTGTGAATACAATTTCCAAAAGTCTGTTTGTACTTAGAGTAAATACACAGTTAGGAAATGTTTTGTGGTTTGGATTTATATATTTATAAGATTTTCTAAAGAAATGTTCATTTTGTCTGAACAAAAATGATGTTAAATTTGATATTAGAGATATAACATATAAATTAGGTATACAGTGAGATTTCTGGAAAGCTCTGGACATGGGTACTATGCATTTTGCTTATTTGTGTAATGTCTGCAGTTTTAAACTTGTATCTTTCTGTGTATTGTGATAGTCTTTTTTGTTGCTAGTAAGTTGACTTGGTTGTAAAAAGTTTTAATGTATGACAACAAAAAATTCTTTATGCTGTTGAATGAAGAAAAGGACAATGTTTCAGTGTTTTATTTACTGCAATGTTTTGTTTGTCCATTAAATTGCTATTAATTTCCAAACTGGACGTCTGATTTCTCTGGCTCACAATTGAGAGTTAATGGTTACTCTGGACCTCTGTGTTAGATAACCACAGCCTTCCAGAAGTGTTCATGTGGCCAGTGCCTTCATCACATGCGTGCAGGGTTCAGAACCTTCGACAGTGCTGACCTAGCCCATCCCACTTCTAAAAGGCCTTCATACAAAAAAAAGGGGGGGTCGGAATTAGGGAAGGTAAAACAAAAATACTGCCATTATCTTTAAATACATTTTTCAGTTTTAATTTATTTTGATTTGCTTCCCAGATTTTGCCTAGCTGCAACCAAATGGAATTCATTTTGGTCGGAGAATCACTCACTTCATGTGGTCTGGGCAAATTTTAAAAAAATCACTTGATGTCTAAATTTGACCACTTTTAGGCAAAATAGAAATAATGTAGAATATGTAGCAGTTATATGCTGATGCTAATTAGTGAATTGGTATCATATATTAATCAAGAGTTATGGTTTCATTCACTTCCCAAATCTTTACATAAACCAGCAAAGAATCGGGTTAAGGGAAGCAGTTACCTGTGCTACTCATAACATGAGTGTGAACGCATACTCATCTCTGAGAGGCCCTCAAATGATGAGCATTTGCCTGGTTGTACACAGATACTAGGCCTCAGAGTCACCCTGAGTTTGAAGAAATGTCCTAACATGTCGAGCAGGTGGATATGGAAGTGAAGAGACCCTGTGCTGACAGGCTGGCCAAGCCCCTAGTTATAAACACACGCTCTGTGACCTCAGGGCACGGGGAGGAGCGATGGAGGTGAGCTGCGATCCCATGCGCTTCTGCATTTTCTGAAACTTGTTCTTTTTGCATCCTCTTCTTGGTAAAAAAACAAATACTTGCCTTGATTCTTTTAAAACAACACAGAAGCACCACATTTTATTTTAGAGCTTTCCTCAAAACCTGAAAAAGTTTAATCAATTGCTTTTCAAGCTGGAGTCTTAAATGTTTCCCACCTCTTTGCCCTTTTGATGTTTACGTCTCTTTGCTTTAAATCCTTTATGAATTCTTACAGTTGTGTGAGAAACCTGAGGTTTAGTATTGAGTCTTCCCTTACAAGTTTACTTTTATGTAAAAGAGATTTTTTTTAAAAAAAACAAGAATTTAGATTACTAAACCTTGAAATTTGAGTAAATACCAAGTGAGTTCTGAGGGTATACAGATTCAGCTCAATTGCTTATATATCATTTAAATCTTGGTATAATCCAAATCTAAGTAATACTCAGTGTATAGATATTTATAGTTTTAACATGAAAGTGATTTAAAATTAGGAATAAAAAATAAATTATGTCTTGAATATTGTGTATAATAAGTAGGGATATGTGCAAATGTATTTTTAAAAGTAGTGGAACCTTGATTTCAATAAAGCATTCAATTACTTGGAGCAATTATTCTAGAAGCATTTGAGTTAATCAGGATTTGATTAGATTTGCAACATATTAACATTTCCCCTTTAAATTGAGATAGTTGGGATTTTATAAGATTAAAGAATGAGCTCTGGCTTACTAGGTCATTTTAGATCCTGGTTTGCCCAGGAAGTGTGATGCTTTAGGTAAGGAAGTTTCTATGTTCAGATACACATGCCTCAGATAAATGATACGGCTTGAAGACTTAGACTTGGGAGTCTCTGGTGCTTCAATAGCCATTGAGATAAGGGAGTAGAGAGAAGTGAGAAGTGAGAGGAAGCAGAGTGCCAAGACTGAGCTCTCTCAAGCTGTAACTTTGAATGACGGGTAGAGGAGCAGGCAAAGGGACTGCGTTGGATCAGCCAGCACTGTGGAGAGTGAAGAATGGGAACTGGAGAATGTGTGGTCCCTAGATCCCAGAGAAAGAAGGTGGAATTAGGATGATTAGGTGAATGCAAGTAGGAGGAGATTTAAGATTAGTTTACTTAGAGAAAAGGACTTCCCGCCAAGATGGAGGCATAGGTAGATACACCGTGCATGCCTCCTCACACAACCAAAAGAACAACAATAACAAAGTTAAAAACAAAAAATGACAAGAAGTGCCAGAAAAAATGGAACTGTCTAGAAGTCCGACAACCAAGGAGTTAAAGAAGAAGCATTCATTCAGACCAGTAGGAGGGGTGGAAATGGGCAGCTGGACAGAGAGGCCTTGTGGCAAGGCGGTAGCTGGAGGACCGGGGGAGACAGTGGCCTGTGGACCGGGCGGTTCCACATTTGCATGCAGAAAAATCGAAAGGAACAACTGGGGAGCAAGACAGACTGTGCAACCCAGGGTTCCAGTGCGGGGAAATAAAGCCTCAAAACCTCTGACAGAAAAAACCTGTGAGGGTTGATATGGCAGGAGAAACTTCCAGCCTCACAGGAGAGTTTGCTGAAGAGACCCACAGGGTCCTAGAATGTACACAAACCCATCCACCCAGGGAAAAGTACCAGAAGGGCCCAATTTGCTTGTGGGTAGCAGAGGAAGTGATTGAAAGCCAGCTGAAAACTGAGCAAGTGGCATTGTTTCCTCTTGGACCCCTCCTCCACATACAGTGCCACAAAGCAGCAACGTGGGTTGTCTACCCTGGTGAAACCCACACCTAAGGCTCTGCCCCTTGCTATGCAACAGCCATGCTGAGACAAAAGAAAATATGGCTCAAACGAAAGAACAGATCAGAGCTCCAAAAATAGAACTAAGTGATGAAGAGATAGGCAACCTATCAGATGCAGAGTTCAAAACACTGGTGATCAGGATGCTCAGAGAAATGGTTGAGTATGGTCACAAAATAGAGGAAGAAGTGAAGGCTATGCAAAGTGAAGTAAAGGAAAATGTACAGGGAACCAATAGTGAAGGGAAGAAAAATGGGACTCAAATCAACGGTTCAGACCAGAAGGAAGAAATAAACATTCAACCAAAACAGAATGAGGAAACAAGAATTCAAACACATGAGGAGAGGCTTAGGGACCTCTGGGACAACTTTAAACATTCCAACATCTGAATTATACGGGTGCCAGAAGGAGAAGAGGAAGAGCAAGAAATTGAAAACTTACTTGAAAACATAATGAAGGAGAACTTCCCCAATCTGGCAAAGGAAATAGACTTCCAGGAAGCCCAGAGAATCTCAAAGAAATTGGACCTAAGGAAGAACACACCAACGCACATCACAATTACCTTACCAAAGATTAAAGATAAGGAGAGAATCTTAAAAGCAGAAAGAGAAAAGGAGACAGTTACCTACAAAGGAGTTCCCATCAGATTATCAGCTGATTTCTCAAAAAAAAAATCTTGCAGGCAAGAAGGGCCTGGAAAGAAGTTTTCCAAGTCATGAAAGACAAGGACCTATATCCAAGATTACTCTATGCAGCAAAGCTTTCATTTAGAATGGAAGGGCAGATAAAGTGTTTCCCAGACAAGGTAAAGTTAAAGGAGTTCATCATCACCAAGCCCTTATTATATGAAATGTTACAGGGACTTTTCTAAGAAAAAGATAAAAAATATGAACAGTAAAATGACAACAAACTCACAACCATCAACACCTGAACCTAAAAAAAAACCCCAAAAAACAAAAACTAAGCAAACAATGAGAACAGGAACAGAATCACAGAAATGGAGATCACATGGAGCATTATCAGCAGGGAGGGAGAGAAGGGTGAATGGGGGAAAAGGTACAGGAGATAAGCATAAATGGTAGGTACAAAATAGACGGGAGGTTAAGAATAGTATGGGAAATGGAGAAGCCAAAGAACCTATATGTAAAACCCATGGACATGAACTAAGGGGGGGAATGCTGGTGGGAGGAGGGGTGCAGGGCAGAGGGGAATAAAAGGGAGAAAAAAATGAGACAACTGTGATAGCATAATTAATAAAATATATTTAAAAATAAAACTAATTTCAAAAAAGGCTTTCAAGATTTTTCATGAAGATTTCCAAATATACAGAAAAGTTAAGAGAATTGTATATTATCATTTCTACAGTTAGCACTGAGAGTAACAGTTAACCTTTCACTATAGTTTTTCCTCTTTCCCCTAAAAATAAGACATTCTCTAATTTGACTGTAATATTATTACATCTAAAACAAAAATACTTTCTAGCCCTGACTGGTGCGGCTTAAATTGGTTGGAACATTTTCTTGTGCTCTGAGAGGTCACTGGGAGGTCAGGGCACATACCTGGGTTGGGGGCTGGATCCCCAGATTCCAGTTGAGATGTGTATAGGAGGCAACCAATCAAGTTTCTCTCTCTCTGTCTATGAATCCACATACATGAAATTGTCAGAGAGTCCATGTGCAAAAGAAGTTCAGAGATGGGAAGGGGAGTTGAGGTATGTAAGACATCCTGAGTGAGGGGTAAGGCAATACACTTTGAGGGCTTCAAAGGTCCACTGCAGGATGATATGGAAGAACAGACTTCAGTACATAGAAATTTGTCCTGCCCTATAGGTCAAGTGAAGTCATCTCTGATAATCTCTTATGGGCAAGGCCTGTAATTCAAGTTCTAGTTAGTTAAGAGGTGGGAGTAGAAGCTTCACCTGAGCTAACGTTGTCTTTAGCTCAAAACAATCTGCACACCACTGAGGCATGTCCTGGGGTGACTTGTTCTGTACCACACAGTTCCTGCCTCTGAAACTTTCCCAGAAGTTTCACGTTCCAGAAATTGAGTTGGTAGATTGCCCTGTAGCTCGTTAAACCCTCTACCCCTAATTTGTGCCAATGCAGTTCCAATTTAGTTGAGCCAACCGAGAATTATCTCTTGGCTAATAGTAGTATAACAGGCTAAGTCAGATAATTCTAAGAGCTGGCTTAATGTTTCAAATTTTTTCTCAGTAGTTTAGAATAAATTTGGCTTTTATTGCTTTATAGTTGTGGATAAGAAAGCTTATCTTCTAACATGGACTTTTAAATGAATGAAAATAACACTTTAGCACTGAAATATTATTTTTAATGCTAAATAACATTATTGGTCATTAAATGATCATCTGTTTTGTTACATGCTTA